CTGAGTGTCTGAAAAATTATTAGACTGAACCATATAAACTGCTGATAAAGCATATATCCTACCAATAATGAGTATGATAATTTTCAAATCTGAAAGAATATACTTTCATTGCAGAAACTAAAACTCTCCAAGGCCCTTAGTTGCCAAAATTACACTAAAAAATTTTTAAAGCTGAATAGATTTCACATGGCTCACTACTCTACCCTTCCTGGAGAATACACACATTTCTAGCACATCTTAAAAGCTTGTGGTCCCATTGCTGAACTAGAGGGAAAAAAAGGTAAACATGCCTGAAGATCTGTTACAGTTAACCATAATGAACTTTAGAATTATGTCTTTTCAAAAGTTTAAACGACTGAAAATTAATTTTGATAGTACATAATTATCTGCTTTATTTATTTATTTTTAGGTGGAGTTTTGTTCTTGTTGCCCAGGCTGGAGTGCAGTGGCATGATCTCGGCTCATTGCAACCTCCGCCTCCCAGGTTCAAGCGATTCTCCTGCCTCAGCCTTCCGAGTAGCTGGGATTACAGGCATGCGCCACCATGCTCGGCCAATTTTGCATTTTTGGTAGATATGGGGATTCTCTATGTTGGTCAGGCTGGTACTGAACTCCTGACCTCAGGTGATCCGCCTGCCTCAGCCTCCCAAAGTTATGGGATTACAGGCATGAGCCACCGAGCTCAGCCAAATTATCTGCTTTAGAACGCAAAATACACTAGCACCTTATGAAATTAGGATTTTTCTATTCAAAGCAATATTAGAGAATTAAAATCTGTTAATGACTATATGACAGCTTCTCCCCTGTAAGGACTGTAAGTCAAATCTTTTCGAGAATATTACAAGGAAAACAAAAATCCAGTAATACTACACACCAGATTCTGTATCGCTTTTTATTATTATTATTAGTTTAGTTTATTTGTGTGTGTGGGAGGGGTCTTTAAATGGAGATAAAATATATTTTGGGACTGTTCTAAGGATTAAATGAGATAATGTACATAAAGCACTTAGCACGGTGACTGGCACAAATTAGGCACTCAGTAAATGGCATCTATTGTGCTTATTCTTATTTATTTATTTACTTTTTGAGACAGAGTCTCACCCTGTCACCCAGGCTGGAGTGTAATGGCGAGATCTCAGTTCACAGCAACCTCCGCCTCCCAGGTTCAAGTGATTCTCCTGCCTCCGCCTGCCAAGTAGCTGAGATTACAGGGGCGTGCCACCAAGCCCAGCTAGTTTTTTGTATCTTTAGTAGAGACAGGGTTTCACCATGTTGGCCAGGCTGGTCTCGATCTCCTGACCTCATGATCTGCCCACCTCAGCCTCCCAAAGTGCTGGGATTACAGGCGTGCGCCACAGTGCCTGGCTGCATATTCTTACACAGAGAATATGAAACAATCTAGAAACAGGGTCAAGCGGCTTAAAAACCTGTAAGAGAAGCCAATAAAGGCAAGTGAATAGAAATCACAGTCAAATATCTAGACTGGTAACCTCAATGAGGAAAGAACCTTGAATAATTTACCCTTGTAGTTTCAGAACCTAATGAAGTGCTTGGCACACACAGTAGATGCTCAGTAAAGGTTTATGGAAATGAAATGGACATGAAAGTATCTGGAAGACCAGGTGCAGTGGTTGACGCCTGTAATCCCAACACTCTGGGAGGCCAAGGCAGGGGGATCACCTGAGTTCAAGAGTTCGAGACCAGTCTGGCCAACATGGTGAAACCTCGTCTCTACTAAAAATAATACAAAAAGTCACTGGGTGTGGTGGCAGGCGCCTGTAGTCCCAGCTACTCGGGAGGCTGAGGCAGGAGAATCACTTGACCCTGGGAGGCGGAGGTTGCACTGAACTAAGATCACACCACTGTACTCCAGCCTTAGCGACAGAGCGAGACTGCAAAGGCAAGGAAAGGCAAGGAAAGGCAAGGAAAGGCAAGGAAAGGCAAGGCACGGCAGGGGCAGGGGCAGGGGCAGGGGCAGGGGCAGGGGGAGGGGCAGGGGGAGGGGGAGGGGGAGGGGAAGGGGAAGGGGAAGAGAAGGGAAGGGAAGGGAAGGGAAGGAAAGGAAGAGGAAGTCTGAGGTTGTCTGAAAAATAAACTGAGAATCCAAAAATTACCATTCCCCCTAAGGAAGCCACTTTGAAAAGTAAATTAAAAACCTAAGCATTTTTAGATCAATGTATAAAAAGTCCCCCCAGACTGGTCTCTTTAATAGTGACTTAGTCCACTCCCAAATCCTTTTTGGCAAATGTGTCAAATATTTGAAGGAAATATTTTAAAACTTAATCTAAATAAATGTTATATGCATCCTCAAAGGGGGAAAAATTACCTAAAGCACTGAGGAATCTTTTCCAACTTCATTTCAAGGACGTTCAGATTAACTTAATTCATAGTTCTTCCATTTACTTATATATGAAAATGAGCTTGTACTTTTATCTACAAGCAAGCTGTAAAGACACATATTTCACTTTCACAAGTTTGAGTGCATACCCCAGAAAAGAAAGAGGAAAGAAAACTCACTCTTTGAGAAGTGGGCAGTGCCACAGGAGTACAAAAGAGTGGCTAACAAAACTTCCCTCCCATGTTTCAGGAGTCACCTACCTGTTAGAGCCCTTGTTTACAGCACAGTCTGCACAGTTTCAGACTCCTTACATATTGCAAACTCAAAATTCTCGGTGTAGTGGTCAAGGGAACAGTGCAATAGGAAAATATGGTCCTATCTTCCCCATCCTACCCCAAGTAAAAGAAAGAATCAACAACATTTTTTCTAAGACTTCTCCAAGATAGCGCCCATCGCCTCACTAGAGCACCCTACTCTTCTTCAGAAACTGAACAATTTTACAGAAAGCAAAAGCCACACCCTTAATAATACACTCAACTCTGTACAGTGCTTGGCTTCTGTGCTAAGTACATTTCCAGAGAGAGAGTTGGAACTACATCTCCTGAGCCTACTTCAAATTAAAATCTGTGAACAGTGAGAGGTTACAAATCAGATAATAGCCCAAAATTAACTGCTGAAAGGAGGTTGGGGGGAAAAATCATTAAATACATCCATCTTTCTTAATGAAATAACAATGTTTTTCAGCAATACAAAACACCAAAGCTACCAGCCTACACTACACAGTAGTTTGCAGAATAACAACCTGCAGTACACAGTAAAATTATTCTTAAATCATCGTTTGTTTCCTATAGTGCTCTAAAAAGTAGCAAATGCATAAAGTCATATAAGAGCTATTGTCCAATCACTGACAGCATTAAAATTATTTTTAAATCTAATTTCTGGAAAGTTCTGCAGTAGCAGTTTAAAAAGCAAATCAAATTCTAATGAGAAAAAACGTCTAGTTCCAAACTCTGAAAATACACTGAAGACATTCACAGTTTAAGAAGCAGGAAGGTCATAGGCACCAATGTGAGTAACATCTGTGAGTGGTTGATACAAAAAAAGATTTCTCTGGAATTAAGAATTCAAAATAATTATCAAATACAATCTAATATGATCTTTAAAAGTCTCCTGTCTCAAAAGCAACAAAGCAAAAGCTTGTAACAAAGCAAAAGCTTCCAATACAAAGATTTTTACACCTTACACATACCCACATACTTCACAAATTAAAAAATAGATGAAAATTAAAACAATAAAATTTAAAGGTATCTAAAATACACTACTTGAAACAGCAGACTCTTATCTTTACATTTATCTATCAGCTCTACCAGTAAAGCTCTTCTGAAATGGATGGTCATTTCAATACAAGATTGTTCGATATGCCATTCCGCGTGAATCAAGCTTCGGAGACTAATTCTCAAAATCTCCTCAGGAGATGCTTTATTACAGCTCTAGTTTCAATTTCCTGCGACTCAAACAGCTACGTACAGAAAACAGCTCATACATAGGCAGAACAATCAGAATACAGGGGAGCGCTCCATTCTTTTGTTTTGATGGCAGAAGCTGCAAAAATAAAGGTTCATTGGAGCCATCTGCACCTATCCCCACCCATCACAGACCTGCAGAGCACTTTTACCCATCCGTTTCTCAGGACTGTCTCTAACCCCCGAGGTCGGCAGAACCCGTGGCCTTCCACGTCTCAAAGGATGGGGGGATGGGGGGTGGGGGGGGTGGGAGGGAGGCTGCGAGGAAGGACACAGATCCTTTGAGGACAGAGGGACAAGGAGACGCATCCAGATGGGGAGGATGGGACGCGACACGAAAACCCGAGGCTTGCAAATTCGCTGGGAGAAAAGCCCTGTGGGCGGAGAATGCTGCCTGTTCAGGGATGGGGACAGACAGAGGGACAATGCTCCAAAACAGGAGACAGGCACACTCCTAGTAGATCCAGGAGGGTGTGAACTAGATAGCTCTGAACTCGGAGCCACAAATGGGTAGAGGCAGCCTCAAACAGATTCGTACCGCGAAGCTGAGACTTACGGTTACTTCTCCCGCTGAGGGTAAGGGTCGGTGGACCCAGCAACTCTGCAGTTCCGCCTCGGCCGCCCCTGGCTCTACAGCCGAGCTGGTGACCTTAGGTACCCTGCCCGCCCCACCCACTCGGACGGGTGCCCCTTCCTCGCCGGCCCGGGTGCACCCGTCAGGAGGAGGCTGATGTGGCCCAGGGTGCGCAGTGGCGGCCCGCGGGAAGCGCTGCGTGAGCCGAAGGCGCCGGCGGCGAGGCTCAGACTGGGCGGGCGCCCCCCATCCCTCTCCGGCCGCTGCGCTGCCTCACTCGGGGGAGGGGAAGAGGGGGCGGTGGCTCTTGCCTCCGCCTCGCGGTCAAGTCCGGCTCATGTTCCAGCCTTGCGCGCGCGCAGCCCCGGCCGCCCTCTTCCCCTCCCCCGCCTCCGGCTCCTACTCAGCCGCTGGCACCCCCGCCGCCACCACCCTAGTCTCCTAGTCGCCTGCCACCAGCCCCTGAGAGACTGCAGGTCCAGAGAAAAGCAGCAGGAACGGCAGCAGCCCGGCGGCCGACCCGGAAGCTCTTCCACCGCCAACCGCGAGGCTGCAAAGGGTGTGAACCCGGAAGCGATTTCGTAGCTACGGTTGCGGCTGGGTGGAAAGCTAAGGCCTTTGAAGACCTGGGACCCCATAGTTTCGGGAGAGGGTGAAGGGTGAATGGTGCTGAGGTGCGAGGAGAGGGAAGGACAGTAAAGAGCAGGTGGGCAAGAGGGTCTCCGATTCCAGAGACCTCAGCTTTTGGGGTGCCGGGTGGGGAGCGCGCGGGAACCCTCAGGACGGCTTGCTTTTGGCGACTGAGGGTTTTTCTGTCACAGGAAGCTGGGCCGGGCTGCTGTGCCTGGGAGGAGGGAAGGAGGAATGAGAAAGCGGTGACGGTCCCTGTCCCCCCTCGCCAGGTGACTGTCCCACCCATTTAGTTGAATGTAGCGGCCGGAAAGGCACTCGCGGCAGGCCGTACGGGTGGGACCTCTCGGTGTCCTTCGGGAAACAGGAGGAGCAAGTTCGACTCCAGCGAGGGAAAACAGAGGTGGGAGACTGAACTATCTCCACATCTAGTTGCCCCAGGCAAGGAGTTTATTTTTCACACGTAGTTACAGAGAAACCAAAGCCACTTTTTGGGTGGAAACTCTTTGAACAAAGAGGCTTACATTTTTCCCCGGTAATGGACGTTGATGGGTGGTGGCGCAGGAAGAAACCGCCCAGGCAGAGTGATTACGTATTTTTGTCATTGCAGGGAAAGGGATTCACAGCTTGTCATTCTAACTCACTTCTCCCCCTCTAACTCATTTCTCGCCTCTACACCTTTCTCCACCTTTTAAGGTTTTTGGCTTTCATCGCTTTTTCTACATGTTGTTTTTAGCCTCACCAGAAGTATTTCATCTCGCTGGTCTAACCCAAGATCTCAGCCTCATTATTTTCTTACTCTTCTGGAGTACTTATGTGCCTTTACAGTTTCTGTTTGCAAATGCTGTCTAGCATACTAAGAGGATATTAGCAAACCTGTTCCATGGACACTAAATGGCAGTTGTACATCTCCCCTCATCAGTCATAGTGACAACCAGAAATGCCCTCCATATTTTCCAGTGATCCCAGGTAGGTGCCACTCCCCAATTAAGGACCACTTCCACTAGTTTATACGGTCTTATTACTTAGGCAGCATATTATCATTTGTGCCTAACATTTTCCAGAATAGAGTGAGCCATATAACAAAATGCCATGTTTCCTGTGCTTATTCACTTGAACCCTCTTCTCAGACTCAGTCTAAACATACTGCAAACTCTAGTTACACCTTTCTCGTATTTTAGTTCAAGCTACTCATTTTCTAGAAACTCCGTCTCTATCAATTTGTATGTGTTTCTACCTTAGCAGTTTTACCTTCCTATGTTAGTTACTTTTGTTATTTTCCTGACTTAAGCCTTTGTTTCCTTCTTTCATGTCACTGGAAGAATGTAGATTTTTAGTAGTCAAGTACGAATAGTTCTTGAAAATGAATTTTAAGACTATTTTGGGGTTATGGTAAAAAAAAAAAAAGTGTTTAAGAAAACCAGATACTGTTACTTTCATAGTTATGTCTTTTTAAAATCACATTTGTTTACCTTTTAAAAGTTCAGGGTTCTGTGCAGTATTAATTAAATATTCTAGAGAAGTGATGAGTATTGACAAAGTACTTTTCTAGTAAATGTTTTCTTAACATGAGTTGACCAAGATAGGAATTGATTTGCTTTAAATTGTGTTTAGAAAACTAAGAATTACTTGATTTCTCTTTTAGGTCCTTAATAGAAAAAATGGTTTCTGTAATTGTGCCCTATATCACAATACAATGTCTTTCTTTTTGGGGCTTGCAGCCTTCAATGCGTCTGTCTCATAATTTGTAAAAGTTTATTATCTCCAAGTCATTGTTAATCTGTGGTGAAAAGTAATTGCTAAATAGAAATTCTGAGAAGAAAAAGGCCTCATCCTTTTCACATGATGTAGGAAGGTCTGGTGCATGAGGTGGGTTTTAAGAATGATCTTATGAAAAAAATTGGACTGAAAAAAATTTCATGAAGTATATAATGATAAAGAATGAAATGTCCTCAAAACTTTTCACACAATGAAATGTCTCTATCCTAATGTTTTACTGTATTTTTTCTAGTGAAAGATCCATAGGGTTTTTTTGGATCTAAATCAATGGAAAGTTTTAGAATCTAAGATAAATTTGAAAATTACTTAAATTATTTTATGTAAAATTTTCGTATTTTAATGGTTGTTTTAATCTTAGGCTAAAGTTTGTGTAAAATGCCAAAAGCTACTGTATTTTAACAGAACTTCTTCTTAAGGTAATTTTACAATCATAAGGCACTTTTTAATTGTTATTTAGGGAAGTGAATTAAAAGTTACAGAGTGATATTTTCAGCTGCAGTGGAAAAAACAGGATAATTACTCTATCTCCTCTCAAATAACATTCAAAACCCTTTCTTCAAAATGGTCTATCTTGAGAGTTGCAGCGGTAGGGAACTCATTAAATATGAACAGATAATTTTAATGCCTAGTGGTTTTTTAAAAACTGAAGAAGTTCATCTCAACATAGCCGAGAAAGAAGCTCTTTCTTTAATGTTCTTTTAGAAATTTGCTGACAAATAAATGGCGAGAAGCTTTAAAAAAAAAAAAAGAGAAAATAATCAGTACAGAAAGATGCACTTTACCATAGCCATTAAAGAAATTTACTCAATGATGATAACTATTATACAACCAAGATTGTAGTTGAAATTCAGTCACTTGTTGGAAATTGCGCAATGGAGTCTTAAGATTTAGGGGGACAAAGTATATGCATGTACACACACATATACCCAGACACATATACACACACCCACAGTGAATATATTTGGAATAAAAAATTGGGATTATTGACAGGTGTGGTGGCTCACGCCTGTAATCCCAGCACTGTGGGAGGCTGAGGCGGGCGGATCACCTGAGGTCAGGAGTTTGAGACCAGCCCGGCCAACATGGTGAAACTCCATCTCTACTAAAAAATACGAAAGTTAACCGAACTTGCTGGCACACGCCTGTTAATTCCGGCTACTCAGGAGGCTGAGCCAGGAAAATCACCTGAACCCAAGAGGCGAGGGTTGCAGTGAGGCGAGATTGTGCACTGCACTCTAGCCTAAGCGAAAGAGCAAGACTCTGTTTAAAAAAAAAAAAAAATTGGATTATCAAGGAATTTGATAAGGGAAATGGAAGATTCTTAAATCACTGTCATAAAGCTTTTATTAACTGACCAAATAGTTTTGGTTCTGTGATAAGCAACTCGAAAGAAAATTATATACTATGCTTTAGCTCATCCAAATGTCTAATATCAAAGTTCTCCTTGCTAAAAGTTCGGGAATAAATGTCAATGGATGTAAAACATCTACCATTTCCAACTTCCAAACTGTTAACAGTATAACTAACATTCACTTTTGTAATTTACGAAAAAAGTGTATATTATTTTGAATCACTATTTCAAGTCATTATTTACAAGATATTTTATAATCATAATCACTTTTTTTTGGCCCCAAAGGCAGATTCTTACTATGCAGTTAACACCTATGAAAATGTATAACCCTATTTTAAAAGGAAAAAAATACAAAGGAAATCTTAAATTATCAGCTAAGGTTTTGAGTAGTTGAACAGTAAAGATGCAGTCAAAGTCATTCCTGGCTTGCCTTTTAGGCACTATATATTCTAGGATAGAGAACATTTTATTTTTTAAAAAATTTTTTCAACATGATTATGTGGAAATAAAATTTTTCAATTTAAGATGTGTTACTTTTTTTATGTTGCCATCAAATGTGTCATTTAATCTTTCAAGGGATTTTTTATTTGTTTTATAAAGCAATGGGAAATCTGGAAAACATAGAAGATGCATATGTTGCTGTTATTCGTCCAAAGAATACTGCCAGTCTCAATTCTCGGGAATACAGAGCTAAGTCATATGAAGTAAGAACATTTAATAATAATTTATTTCTACCATTGAATGTCATTCTGTATTATCATTCACATATAAAGCCTTATTATATCTTGTAAATTCGTATTAAGCCAATTATTTTAGGTCTCTGCCCATTATTTTGTCTTTTTTCTGCTGTGTGCCTTTTGACCATTTGCTGTTTATTGACACGTAGGTTATTAGTAGTAAACATGTAATTAAGACTATATGTACATACGTATACATGTATATAACTGAATTGTTACCTTTTTTATGCAACAGATTTCAAGCAATATGAAATACTTATAATTTAACCTAAGTTATCTAGCATTTCCTTTAAACTAATTTTTTAAGGTTGTCTGAAACCTGTTAAAGGGTACCGTGGGGTTTCTCAGTAGGCTACTGCTTCAGCAGTGCTGTAGCTTACCATTTCTCACTCCTGGCTGCACTGTAGAATCACCTGGGGAACTTTTAAAACTGTAAGAACCAGACCCCAGACATTCCCATCCGTGTGGGATGGGGCTGGGCATTGCTATTGTTTTAAAGCTTCCCAAATTATTCTAATATGCAGCTAGAGTTGAGAAAGACTACTAGCTTATTGTAGTTTTCTAGGGCAGGTAGACTTTATTTTAAGCTTTCTCTTAATGTTGTTTTTCTCATCTAAGATTTTGTTGCATGAGGTTCCCATTGAAGGACAGAAAAAAAAGAGAAAGAAAGTTTTATTGGAAACGAAACTTCAAGGCAACAGTGAAATAACACAAGGCATTTTGGATTATGTAGTAGAAACCACTAAACCAATTTCTCCAGCAAACCAGGGTATCAGAGGTAGGAGACTTCTTTTTAAAAAAATACATTGTTTAAAAATACTTGTGGAGATAGATTCTTTTAAAAATATACACATATTAAACCAATTTCTTTTTATATTCCTTTATATTTAACAAACTTGCAAAAAAAACTTAAGTGTTTTTTAAGGTACACCCCAGCCCCTTCAGGATGTAACTTGACAAATTTTTTAGAAGTTGAAAAGTATTTAAAGAATTCACAGTGTTGGTGTGAAGTATAGTTCCCTAGGTAAGTATCTTTTAACTACTATTCCTATTTCTCTACTTAATGACAGAGGAAACTATACTCATCTCTCCAAAACTAAGTAAAAGTTAATATTCGTGGATTAGGGAAAGTCCTGTAAATTACTAGGTAGCAGAGGTTTTCTTCCTATTTGGTCATAGAAAGAAGACCCTTTTCAGAAAGTCAGACTGAATTGTGGAAGTATTAACCCTGAAAGATTGAGGCCCCCTTTAAAATATTACATAATAGCCTTTGAACGTGATTAGAAAGTAATGATCCATTTTCTCAGGCTATAGAAACAGATAGCAGTCAAATGTTACAGAAACTACAAACTACATCTAGGATTCAGTTACTACAATTTAAAAAGTAAAGCCAATTCAGTCAAGCAGCAGTAGAAAACAGTTGTTAGTGAAGTAAAGAATACCTCTCTATGCCTACTTTTTTGCTTTTTCAAAGCTTATTCAGTGTACATTTTTATAGGGATTAGTTGTCTGATTCATCTGTTTCAGTAAAGAGATTATTTTTGTTGCAGAGATACAGCCAAATCCTGTGGTTTGACTTATTATTTAGGATATTTGTTTTCTAGAGATACATAACTGAGCTATAAGCCTGTGTTTCTTAACTTTTGGAGGTACCATTCACTGTATTTTAGCTCCCTGATAGGTTACTTCCCCTAATAGAGCCTGAAGAGTTTTTGTGGGTTGGGACTGTAAGGATTTTAACTCAGGATTATAAGTAGTTCCTGTGGCCAGGCGCAGTGGCTCACATCTGTAATCCCAGCACTTTGGGAGGCTGAGGTGGGTGTTTCACGAGGTCAGGAGTTCAAGACCAGCCTGGCCAATATGGTTAAACCCCATCTGTACCAAAAATACAAAAATTAGCCCAGTGTGGTAGTGCACGCCTTGTAGTCCCAGCTACTCAGGAGGCTGAGGCAGAAGAATTGCCTCAATACGGGAGATGGAGGTTACAGTGAGCCAAGATTGTGCCACTGCACTCTAGCCTGGGCAACAGAGTAAGACTCCATCTCAAAAAAATAAAAAAAAGTTCCTGCATATGATCTCTGATAAATACTCTGAGTCTCACAAAGAGAATTCCTTTTCTCTAATTACCAGATTCACTGTATAATAAGAAGATCAAGAAAGCAATCTTAGCTTATTAAAAAGGTGGAGGGAGCTATCCTTTTTTGGGAATCAAGGCATGTGAAGACTGTCTTTGGATGCCACAGATTGGTCAGTCTCATCTACCTCAGTCTTGGACTTCTCTGATAACTTTTCATCTGAACTTATTCTACTATTGCCAGATCGTTATAGTAATCAGCATCTATCCTGACACCAAATCCCCGAGACAGAAATCTGATTATCTAAATCACATATTTGAGCTGACAAATCATTATAGACATAAATTATAGACAAGTCATAATTTGTTATGCATTAACTAAGCTCTGCCACTAGGTCCTTTTACCCAGAGGAATATGGAAGAGATCTCACTGTTAACAAAAACTTGCCCTGATCCAGAGGGCTGGGTAGTTTCCCTTAGGAGGAGTTACGAGTGGACAGTCACCGAGAAACGTATCTAGCACCATTTTGCCCTGTATACTCAGACATAAAATGTACTAATATATTTTCAGGGAGCTTTTATCAAGAAATTAAAGTAGAAAAGCATAATATATTAATGAGCCATACTCTATCCTAAGTATCCTATTTGTTTTTCTAAATCTATAAAATATTTTTGAAGTAATATGATTCCTTATGTAAACATCACATGAAAATCACAAATGACTATTAGCAGTGGTTAGGCTTAATATTTTTGTACTGTGTTGTATGTCATTTACAAAGCACTACTACACTTATACATGAAATTCTTAAATTGATCCCGTTGATAGGTAGTGATTTTCACATCTGTAAAATGGGAATGCAGGCATAGGCTGTCTCCTCCTATAAGCATTTCCATTGGTAGAGGAATTAGGACTAGAACTTTCATCTCCTAACTTGTCAGTGCTTCCTTGCCCCACTGACAGATCTCATAGTTACATATATAATTTGCAAAATAGGCATTTAAATAATAGATCATAACTGGATTTGGGGAAACAGCAAGGCAGGAAAGATTAAGTAGAGACAAGACTTCAAGCCAGGCAAAAGAAATAGTGCCTCTGAAGTATATTAGAATGTTCTGTATCTAACACTTATATTTTGTACAAGTGTTCATTTCATGAAATAATTGGGGGCTATAATATAGAAGGTCTTAATAATCACAAATATTGACTCTGATATTTTGTGAATAAATGAATCTGTTTGAAGTCTTGCATCATTTACCTGCCCACAGAAGGCATCCCACCTGCCTACTAGGCATTTCTACCTCGGTCAGGAACGAGGTTCTGTTTCTTAGGGTGAGGAAATTGGAAGCATTGAAAGTATGACAAAGGTCTAGAGGATGAGGGGTTTTAGAATACAAGACTTGTAGGTTATTATTCATTAATAACTTACTGCCAATTCAGGAAAAACATTAAGAATGGTAGTTACAATTCAGAACAATAGTTTGTAGCCCAATCAGTTTTTAATAAAACCTGAAATTGAGGATGGAGGTTAAATATTAAATGAAGAGCCACTAACCATTAAGACTTTGAAACTTACATATGCCAGAATATAATAAAATTCTTACTGTCTCTATCCTAGTTGAGTGAGGTGGTATATGCCTATTGACCCTGCAGAGTACATTGCTGTTCTGCCTTCTCAGCTCTTAGCAGAACAGTTTTCCTAGCTTTGCTTAGGAAGCTTCTCTTCTAGGGGGTCAAGACTAGGACCCTAAATCTACAAGGATTGTCCACAGAATGATTTTGCATTTATCAGTTTTTTTAGTACATATAATAAAGTTGACTTCGTATATTTCAGTTCCTCTTAATGCTGCCTTTTGAAGTATCTGTTTTCTAATTCTCAAGGTAATTTATAAGATTTAAAAGTGTATTATTTTTGTTTTGCTAACTTTTTAAAAATGATTAGGAAAACGAGTTGTACTAATGAAAAAATTTCCTCTGGATGGAGAGAAGATGGGCAGAGAAGCGTCATTATTTATTGTTCCATCAGTTGTCAAAGGTAAAGTCTAAGTATATCTTACAAATCTTCATATACTTTAGATGCTAAGTAAAGGTCTACTGAGGAACTTAGGAATTTGCATTCATAGTTACTACTATAATATTATAAAACACATTTTAAAATTAATAGAAGAAGGGAAATATGTTAGTTAAAGACATTTTGATTTCAAAATAATATACAGGCTTCTTGACTCAACAGTAATGTTTTTGTTTTAGTTTTTAAAAGGATGAAGAAATGAGGAGGGAAGGCATCATTGAAATTTAAAGTGCTCAGGTTACAATAAAGGATTTTTCTAAAGATATGCCATAGATAAAATAAAAATTGATCCTGAAGTATTCTGGAAAATTAACAGATTATGATCAGAACCTATCTTGTATTTGGGACAAGAATCAATAATAGTTCTAATATAATCTGCCTAATAGTATCAGTAATATTTTTAAAAAGGAAACCTAATGTGAAAATGTAGTATTTTATTCCTTTGACACCCTGGCATGATAAACACATTGAGTTTCAGTACAGACCTTGCAGCCCTATAATTTTGTGACCTTGGGCAAATCTCCTCTTTAGCTCTTTATTTGTAAAATAGGGACAATATTGCTACCTGCTTCCACTTGTTTCATGGTGCTGGAAAATTCAATGAGGTATTAGATACGAAATAACCTTGGAAACTACAGAGCACTAGCATCATGTAAGATAGTAGTAATACTGATGATATACTGTATTAATCACCTACTGTGGACATCCCATCAGCCTGCTGCTACACAGTGCTCACATGTATTTTATTAGGCAGCTGCAGCATTCCAGATATATTTTTCCAGGCATACTTAGGTTAAAAAGTTCAGTATCTTAAGTAGCGTTGGAAATCTTATTAATGAGTTTTACAACATTGTTGAGGAAGATAAAGAGGAAACAGTTTCTGCAGTCCTCCAAAATTCTAAATGTTGCATTTACCTGAGTGGACAAGGTCACAGAGCTAGTCATCACTTGAATCCAGGCCTTCTAATTCCAAATCTAGAACAATTTATTTTATGCTTAACAAGTGTTAATTTTGTAACATATATTTTTAGATGAAAATATACAGATGTAAACCTTTTTATGGTAACATAATTCTTCATTTTTCTTTTTCAGATAATACTAAATATACATATACCCCAGGATGCCCAATTTTTTACTGCTTTCAAGATATCATGCGAGTCTGTAGTGAATCCAGTACTCACTTTGCTACACTTACAGCGAGGATGTTAATAGCCTTGGATAAGTAAGAAATGCCATTAGAAGTATTTTTTAATTAATCAAATATATGTTTATAGTAGAAGTTAGTTCTGATAGATACAGACACTTTGAGAAGAAAATAATGAAAATAATATATGTATTTAAAAAATGGTAAGTTTTTCAATTCTAATATAAAAATGAAAAACCCCAAGATAAGGTTGTCCTGGCCTGGGTACAGCATGTTAATTTTATTTTTCAGAAATGGCAAACACTGCCATGGCTTAAGAATTGAGATTCTCCTGTTATGAAAGTATACATTTAATATGGAGTTACTCTTATCAGTGAATAAGTCATTCAACCTCTTATGCCTTTGTCTTTCTGTAAGAAGAGGGCTAATGTCACCTACATCTCAGTAGTTTGAATTTTAACAGTACTTTTATGTTTTTTGAAAGGAGTTTTTATTACTATAATGGCATATACATTTAAAAAATTTGTTTGCTGTATCCATTAAGGAAACTTTTATTAATAATAAATGAAGTATTTGTATACTGACTTGATCTTTACATATCATATGAACGTATTATCACATGTGCCCCGAAAGTATGTACAGTATTATGCATGTTTTCTTAATTGTTAAAATCAATTTGCAATATAAATAAATTTTAAAAATAATAAAGTACTTAACTAACACCGAATTAAAATTTTAAAAATCTGAAAGTAATATTCACAAGTGTCTTATATCAGAGTTAGATAGTACTCTACCTTTTTGATCTTCACTTTTGAATGGCTACTTCTACCTCTATTTTTATTTTGCCAGGTGGTTAGATGAACGTCATGCACAATCTCACTTTATTCCAGCTTTATTCCGACCTTCTCCTCTTGAGCGGATAAAAACTAATGTCATAAATCCTGCATATGCTACTGAATCAGGTCAGACAGAAAACTCACTACATATGGGCTATAGTGCACTAGAAATAAAGAGTAAAATGTTAGCCCTAGAGAAAGCAGATACCTGTATTTACAACCCTTTGTTTGGATCAGATCTTCAATATACAAATCGGGTAAGAGTTGAATGAATTTTAGCTCTGATTTAAAAGACGTTTTATCTCAAGTGTAATTTTTTTTTCCTGAGATATATACATATATTACTAATTATAAACATGAAGGCCTGGTGCAGTGGCTCACACCTATAATCCCAGCACTTTGGGAGGCCAAGGTAGGCGGATTGCCTGAGGTCAGGAGTTTAGAACCAGCCTGGCCAATATGGTGAAATCTCATCTCTACTAAAAATACAAAAATTAGCTAGATGTGGTGGCGTACCCCTGTAGTCTTAGTTATTCCAGAGGCTGAGGCAAGAAAATCGCTTGACCCTGGGAGGCAGAGGTTGCAGTGAGCTGAGATCGCAGCACTGAACTCCAGCCTGGGCAACAGAGCAAGACTCATTCTCAGTAAATAAATAAATAAATAAATAAATAAATAAATAAATAAATAAATAA